TTTTTTTTTTTTTCTACGTCAAATATACACATAAAAAAAGTCATGTTTCGCCCTGTCTTTTTGTTTTTTAGTAACGGTTAGGCCAACTATCACTGAGGACAGCTAAAAAAGAAGAGGAACCATTTCATAAGTTCAATAGATACCGAAGTTTAGTGGAAGAAAAGAAAAAAAAAGGGGAAGAAGGAAGAGGGTTTTTTTTTCATTATTAAATGGTAAACTTATATATGATTGCTGTTCAGCTCCAAGTTTCAAAAACACATCTTTTGTTGGTGGCTCAGAGTTCCAATAGGTCCGAAAAAAGGCAAGTGTCGCCGCTTTAGGACCAAAGAAATGTTGTCGTTGCTTTTGTTTAAGTAACCATTTTCTTCAGTGTTCTGCTAAATACTGTTGTAAAGTTAAAACTGTTTTGCTTTACAGTGAGTTGCTCCTGTGATTGGCATTTTAATTAACCAGCTAATACTTGTATCTTTGCCTCTAATTTTTTCTCTCTTTTCTGATTGATGTTTTATTTCATCAACAATTTTTACAGACCAATAATTTAGGTAAAAATTTTCACCTTACATTAACAATCGAAACAGATCCAGTACAAATTGCTATTGTTGGTAAGGCTATTAAAGTAACTGTAGATGGACCTCGGGATTCAAGAAACAACAAACGATCGTGTAAGTTGTGCAAAAATTTCCTTCTCTTGTATTTTATCAATACTCAAATTTATTATTATCTTCAGCACCCAGTAATAAATCTTTAAATAAAAATTTTAATTACCGAGACAAATATTGGGTATTGCAGTAACGGAACGTCGAAGAAGTGGTTCACATTCAGATGACAGCCAAATCAGTAACAAAATTAGACGCCATTTCTCTCCAGATATTCCATCAATAATTCGACCAGTGCCGTCAATCATCCCTCCATTATCGGTTTTACCACCAATGTTCAATGTTCCGTTTATTACCGCCACACCGGCATTACCGTCACATCTTCCACTACATTATCCGGTTCCGCATCCAGTCACACAAATGTCTACTCCACAGACCTTACCAGTGGTCACAAAAACTTTGTTCCCTACAAAGCAAGAGTCAATCGGATCTCGAGCTAGGCACAAAAGCACTATCTGGAAA